ACATTCTTTTCTCTAATCAGTTTGCCTACTATCTGTGCTAAATGCACCATCAACTCTCCTATCTCCGAGCCTTTGCTCATGTTCTTATTCCCTGTGCGTTGAATGTCTAATTCCTTACCCCTCTTTACCTGTTGATTATCTAGCCATCCCTTAATGAGTTTCTCAAATGTTACCTTCCCTAATTCTCCTTTTTGGTAATGGCCCTCCCTCTCACTTCCTCTCTAATGCATCTATTGTGAATTGTTGTATATCATAGTTTAATCCATCAATCAACAGGCATTTATTAAGTGCTTATTCTGTGCCAGGCACTAAGTGCTGAGGAGAAACCAAGAAAAAATAGTCTCTTCCTTCAATGACTTTACATCTGAGTGAATGAGATGACATATAAATAAATAAGTACAGAGAAGACACAGGCAGAGTAGATGGAAGAGGATCTTCAAGGAATAATCTTAGAGGAAAAGGTGCTATTGCCAGAGTCGAGGAGAATGAGAAAGGCTCCTTATAGAAGGTGGGATATGAACTGAGTTTTCCTTTTTTTTTCCTTTTTCTTTTCTTTTTTTTTTTTTAAGGCGTTTGGGGTTAAGTGACTTGCCCAGGGTCACACAGCTAGTGTCAAGTGTTTAGTCTGATGCCATATTTGAACTCAGGTCCCCCTGACTTCTATCCACTGCGCCACCTAGCTGCCCTTTGAACTGAGTTTTAAAGGGGATTCTAAGAGGTGGAGGTGAGGAGGGAGAACATTCCAGATATGGGGGTGGGGGTGGGGGCGGGGCAGTCAGTAGGAAGGCACCAAAGCAGAAGATGAATGTTATTTTCAAAGAACATCAAATAGTCTTTGTGTATGTGTCATTTCCAGTAGACCATAACTTATAACTACACGAAAGCAGAGACTTGGCATCTCTTATACCTTTAGCATTAAATGGTGGGCATTTAATATTTGTTGAATTTTAAGTGTCTGTGATCATTCTTCTTGACACTTTATTGCCTGTTGTTCTTTATTTTTCTGTTCATTGGATCTAAGTCTTCTCTTGCCTCTGAGCCCAGGCAGCCAGGAGGCATTGTGGTTAGAGTACTGGATTTGGAATCAGAAAGACCTGAATTTAAATTCTGCATTGGACACAACTAGTTTATGACTTTCTCAGCCTCAGTTTCCTAATTTGTAAAATGGGGATAATAATGGCACCAAATCCTCATTATAATTGTTGTAAAGATCAGATAAAGTAACATGTAAAATGATTCTCAAGCCTTAAAGCATTTGTCAGTAAATAAACATTTATCAAGTACCGAATGTATGCAAGGGAGTTATTGTTGTCATAGTAATTGTAATCATCATCACCTGAAGACTGCCTTTTTTTTTTAACCCCTCTTCAACTAGTTGGTACAGAACACCTGAGTTTAAATCTCTCAGATACTTACTAGATGTATGACCCAGGGCTAATCACTTAACCTCTGTTTACCTCATTTTCCTCATCTCTGAAATGAGGATTAAAAAAAGCAGCTACCTCATAAAGTTATTGTGAAGATCAAATGAAATGATATGTATAAAGTGCTTAGCATAATTCTTTGCACATAGTAGGCATTTAATAGATTCCCTCCCTCTCTTCCTTCTTCCCTTCCTCCCTCCCTCCCTTCCTTCCTTCCTTCCTTCCTTCTGTCCTTCCCTGCTTGGAATTGTTGAGTCTAAAGGATCCAGTTTTTTTTCCATAAAATGTGTATTTCTTTAACTCCTTCAGTAGGTGGCACCACTCAAAGGAAGCAACTAAGTGAAACAAACAAAATGTCCAAATTTACCATTTGTTCATTTGGGGAAAGATGTTAAATGAGGAAAGGTTTGCATTTCTCAGTCTTATCCTTGCAATGGGGAGAATGACTCAGGCCTTATTTAGCAGAGCCATGGATGAGTCCTTAGGCTGTACTTGGGATGGGATGTCATGAGTTTTCCTATCCCAGTGGCTTGAGTTGATCTGACATGATGGCCTTTGACTGCATACTTTTATTTCCTTTACAAGTATTAACTTTCTTAGACAGTGTTTCGCATACTTGGGCTTTATTATCTGGAACTGGGGCAGTTTTGGGATGCTATATGGGGTGTCTAGTTCTCTTTGGGGACATTGCCCCTCATTCCACTCCATGACATAAGAGTCAGCAGAGTGAGGCAGTTGAGGATAGGGTCACTCTTGGGGAGCACATATTTCTTTACTTGTCACATCTCAAAGCCAGGCTGACACAGAGCAGAAGCAGCTGGCAAGCCTCTGGTCTCTGTTGCCTGAGGTCAGAGGATGGTTTTTCTTCCTGTTTGGTAAATTTAACCCCATTTAAGCATCAGCCTTTGCTTAATAACGCATACTCACCACTGACCTCTTTACAAACTGTAAGTGACAGTTCACATAGCCAAATGGAAACTTAGCCCAGCAGCTAGGAGCTCTGGGATCAGGTTTATATGTTAGATCAAGCCATGACAGCTGAGTATCCCAATGGATTGTTGGAGAATTTTCCTCCTGTGCAGGATAGAAGGTAGAACATGGATTTTTTTTTTTAAAGCTCACAGTTTTTGTGCCTCCTACATGACATCTTTAAAACTGACATGACAACAGATACAAGGATATTAGCAGTGTGGTTTATTCCATTGTCCAAAACATATCTATCAAATATCTGCAGATACTCAAAGCCAAGAACAGTTCTAAATAAATGCTACCCTTAATTGCTCACAAGTACATTAAATAAGTGTTAGAAGCTAAGGTTAAGCCATCTCCATGGTAAAATTATTGACTCATATCTAAGGAAATAGAGAAGATTCCAACAATAGAATCTTGTTGTTAGACGGATTCAAAAAATATACTCATCACAGTCCTTCCCCACCTCCCACTCCCCTAGTCACCATCTTTATGTCAGATATGGGTTTGGAATGATGATTTCCAGGGTATCTCCCAGCTCTTTTGTGTCTGTATTCTAGGGTCTTGCTCTGATCTGACATTCTTTGAGTGAGTATATTATTGCAACTGGGAGATAAATTATCTCTAAGCTATACCATTGTTACCCATAGTAGGGGTCAGATTTAATCTTCCTGCTCTAGCAATTATGAGAGAATCATAGGATAGAGAGCTGGGGAGAGACCTTAGTGATCTAGTCAAAACTCTTTCATAAAATGATTGTTTTCTTTTGTTTCTGCTTGATGTTTTGAGCTGGGGACAGTATATGTAATATTCTATACTGTGATGTATAAAAAGTTTGAGAAACAGTTTCTGGGTAATTAATCATTTTATTAATCATATTCAAAATAATTAATAATAGGGATCAATGGCATTCTTGAATGCCATGGGATCCACTCAGCACATATGCCCTTGGGAGAGTAGGTGTTTCTGAGGGTGGCAATCAATTCTGATTGGGTAACAATTGATGAGAAGAATGAATATTGTAAGGAGAGGTGGGTTTTTTCTAATGAGGGGCTAGGGAACTTGATTGATCACTCAGTCTTGGACCAAGAGACTTATCTCTTATCTAGACTACCCTGCCTAGGACAGTCTAGACAAAAGGGAATCCACCTCTGCTCAGATCTGGCTAAGTGGAACAAGATGAACCAGAATTCACCTTAGATTAAAAGTCTTTATAGGGTTCTCTGGTTGAGTGGGGCAACAACTCCAAGATTTTATCTCATCCTCTATCTTACCCTTCAGAGAACCAAGATTTGACGGAATCTTCAAATGAGGAAGGGAAAAAATCCTTAATATCCCCAATATTTGGTTATTTAATAACCATTTCTCTCAGCACTCTATCCATTGCAGCACCTTTTAATGACTAACATTTATGTAGGACTTCAAGATTTACAAAGTGCTTTCTATTCATCATCTCATTTGAGGGGGAGAGAGAGTGAGCATTTATATAATGCCTACTATGTCCAGGCACTCTGCTAAGCACCTTTTGCAAATATCTCATGTAAGATTTTAATATGTTGGTGTTTTTCAACTTTTTTCAGTACATACCTAGGAGTGGCCTCTTTGGATTAAATATGATGGGCTGTTTGTTTTTCTTTTTCTTTTACATAATTTCATATTATTTTCCAGAATGGTTGGACCAATTTAACAATGTATACCAAGAGTGTGATAGTGTGTCTGTTTCATTGAAGCCTCTCTAACACTGATTATTTCCATCTTTTGTCATCTTTGACAGTTTTCTACGTGTGGAAAGAACCTTGAAGTTGTTTTGGTTTATGCTTTATTGTTAGTGATTTTGAGCAATCTTTCAAGTAGTTGTTAAAGTTGGCAGTTTTTCTGGGAACCATTTACTCATATCCTTTGTTCATTTGTTCATTGAAAACCACTTGATTTTTGAAGCCAAAAATGTACATTTGGTCTCATCCAATACACTACATACCTCCAGGTTACAGACACAATAGCATGGATTATCTAACTGTGGAAGGCAAATGAGTACTGTGTGGGACCTTGTAAATTACATATTCTCTCTATGACTCATTTCCCCCATGATTTCTGGTGTCTTCTCCTCCCTCCTCTATCCTACTCTTTCAAAGAAATGTGAGGGACTATGTGTATGGTACTTGGAATATTGGGGAGAAAAGTGATACCTATATCTAATTAAGTAGTGATTAGGGTTGGGGAAAGGTAGGAGAGAGGGGAATAGTCTGCCAGCCACTCTCATTTTAGAAAGTCCATTTTGTGTTTGGATCAATGTCTCTTGAATGGCACATTGTCATGAAGATAACTGACCTGGTATATCATTATATCACTATCTTGACATGCTATCTTCTATAGAGTGAAAATTTTTCTGAACCAAGCATTGGTTTGAAATGTCAAAGCTTATGTCTTATCCTGAAAATCAGACATGCAAATTAATTTACTAGTTTGGTCATCATTGTGTTTCTATATTTAAAAAAAATCCAGATAAAATGTGCCAAGCCAACAGTTTTGTATATCCACAAAATATTCTATTGTTATTTTTCTATTTCTTGGCAAATTACAAAAGCATCTCTTTTGCCTTCCCCTCAGGTCATCTCTGCAGTGTCTAGACTCTCTCTGCACAGTATTGCACAGAACAAAGGAATTAGGTAAGTTTTTGCTGTGCTCAGTAACTGATAAAGCTGTGTGTGTGTGTGTGTGTGTGTGTGTGTGTGTGTGTGTGTGTGTTCATCATTGTCTGTTACTGGCCTAGCTTGTCACAGGCATTGGAATTTTAAGCAAACATCTTACAGTCTGGTCCTTTTTCATACATTTTCAATGTGTCTTAGAATTACCTTTTGACTTCAACTCAGAAAGAATGGGGAAGATGAAGAAAAAAAATAACTACTAACCTTCAATTCACACTAGGGAAATCTTGCAAGCATGTTTCTTATCACTTCACAATCTTTTTCGATTTAGGTAATGAGATCAGCAAATTAATCCTTTCACAGATCATTGCCTACATAAATGCAATGGAAAAATCAGGAAGATTTTGTTGTGAATCAAGTAGCCTGCACATTTGTAGCTATCAGGGGGCATATGAAAGGACCTGATCTTACTGGTATTTTAATGGCTTTCTAACTGGGCCTCCAAGGGTAGGCTGGAACAGAGACAATGTAACACTGTGAAGAGAATGCTGGACTTGGAACCAGCGAGACCTGGGTTCAAACGTGACACCTGATATTTAGTGGTTGTATGATTCTGGACAAGTCATGTAATCTCTCTGAGCCTTGATTTCTTCATTTGTAAAATGAGGTACTTGGGCTAGATGGCCTATAAGATCCCATCGTACTCTAAATTAAAGATTGGATGTGTGTATACACATACATGAATTTATAATTTTTTATATTTATATATACATTGTTTGTATATATACATGTATGTATAGTGTGTAAATATATGTGGAGAGAGAGGAAAGAAAGGAAGGAAGGGAAGAAGGAAGGACAAATGGAAGGGCAGGGGTAAGAGGAAAAGGAGGGGGAGGAGTATCTGAATTTTTATTTATTTATTCATTTATTTATTTTTTGGTGAGGCAATCAAGGTTAAGTGACTTGCCCAGGGTCACACAGCTAGTAAGTGTCAAGTGTCTGAGGCCAGATTTGAACTCAGGTCCTTCTGACTCCAAGGCCAGAACTCTATCCATCGTGCCACCTAGATACCCCTCAGCATCTGAATTTTTAGAAGAATGTGTCAGGGGTGTGTTGGAGCCAAGTCAGGCTGGATTGTGAGAGCTGATTGTTAAATTTTTTGTGTGAACATTTGCACCTCAGAAATGGGCAAACACTATAGATTAGGGCTTGTTTTTTTTTTTTTTCTGATTGTCTAGACTTGTGAAAGCAATGAAGAAAATATTAGTAATGCAGATTAAACTTAAAAGTATGTTATGACTACTTCTCCCTCTTCCCCAGACCCATCCCCTCCATCCCTGTCAGCCAGTTGTTAAACATTTACCACATACCACTGCATGTAGTCCAGAATTTGTCTCCTGGGAACTTAGGGATTGCGAGACACACTGATACAGATCTATTTGAAACTGAATGAGCTAAATAAGGAATTAAACAAGAATAGAACCAAAATGTGAGTGGGTAGTAAAGTATTTGTGTCAGATGCAGATCAAGGATGAAAGTGTCCTGAGTGGCAGGCTTCAGTGTATACTTGGAATATAGAATAGGAAAGTGGTCTTGTGTCCAGTGCTCAGAATGATGCAAATGGTTTTAAACAAGGTCCTTTTTGAGCCAGACAGCATAAAAAGGAACTATTTTGGAGTGTACCTGTGTGGCAGGGTGTGTTGAGAGAGCCAACCACTATTTCACGTATTGAAAGAGTTACTAGATTGTACATGTGCACATGTATAGTATACATAGCAAATTGCCTTTAAAATTAGAAGTCCATTGAACTTGACTTTGATTTGTGGCAAAATTCTAGAACATGTAATTAAAGTTGTGATTAATGAACACCTAGAAAAGAAAGAAAAGCTCACAACTCACCAGTATGTCCTCATCAAAAACAGGTTATGTCAGACCAATGTAATTGCTTTTTTTTTTTTTTTTGACAGGGCTGCCAGAGTGTTACCTCTAGGGTTGTTGTATGAGATATAGTTTGGCTAGGATTTAGAAGACAGCATCTGAGAAAGACTCTCACACTATTGTTGTAGATACAATGGAGAGTACTGGCCCAGACAATAGGCCAGTTAGGTAGATTCTGCATTGGTTGAATGGGTGCAGACCTAAAGAGTAGTCATTAATGGCTCAGTGTCACTGTAGAGAAAGATCATCAGTAGAATGCCCCAGGGTCTGTGTTTGCTCCTGCCATGTTTCAACATTTTTCAATCAATGGCTTGGATAAAGATATAGATGGCATTTATAAGATTTGTAGATACTACAAAAGTTGGGTTGACAGCTGCCTTGTAGGATGACTGAACCAGGATCTAAAAGGGTCTGAACAGGGAATAATGTTGGGAAGAATCTAATAAAATGAAATGTAATAGGAACTACAATAGGGATAAATGTAAAGTCTTGGGTTAAAATATTTAACTTCACAAATACAAGATGGGGGAGGTGTGACTAGAGAGCAATCTCAAAAAGATCTGGGCACGAATGTGAGTCAATTGTGTGACATGGAAGCCAAGAAAGCCAACGCAATCTTAGGCTACTTTAAGAGAGACATAGTGACTGATACCGGGAGGTGATAGTACCTAGAATATTTTTTTTAGCTTGACCACTTCTAGAATGTTGAGTTCATTTCTGAGAGTGTGGCATGGGTCATGGAATGATGGATCTGGAGTCAAGAAGACCTGGTTCCAAATCTCACATTGAGAACTGTGTGAGTATGGACACATGGTACCGTGTGCCTTAGTTTCCTTATCTGTAAAATGGGCATGGGGCAGCTAGGTGATGAAGTGGATAGAGTACTGGGCCTGGAGTCAGGAAGACATAAGTTCATATCTGGCCTCAGATACTTTCTAGCTGTGTGACCCTGAACAAGTTATTTGACCCTGTTTGCCTCAGTTTCTTCATTTGTGAAATGAGCTAGAGAAGAAAATGGCAAATCACTCCAGTATCTTTGCCAAGAAAACTCCAAATGGGATCAGGAAGAGTCAGAAATGACAGAAAAGACTGAACCACAACGAAAATGAATATCACAAAATTTGTTGTTATGTACTTTGTGGAATTATACTGAGCATCAAGTGAGGTAGTATATATAAAGTGTTTTTCAAACATTAACATGTATATAATTTTCAGCTATCATTTATTGTGATTGGTACCACATTTTTGGCAGAACACTGACAAGATAGAAAGTGTTCAGAGGAAGAAAACCAGATTCATGAAGAACTGTGCCATACAAGGATCAGTTGAAGAAACTAAGTGTTCAGGTTGGAGAAGAGAAGATTTAGTGAAGGCAAGCTTGCTTCTTTGAGTGTTTGAAGGACTGTCATATGGATTAAATGGATTAGATTTATCTTCCTTGGTCTCAAATGACAAAACTTAAGAGGACTGGGTAGAAATCACAGAGAAGCTAATTTAGACTCCATTGAAGAGAAAACTTGCCAATAAGTAGAGTTATTCAAAAATAGAATGCCTTGAGAGGTAGTGGTGGGTATTCCCAGTCACTGGAGGCCTACGAGTGAAGGGTAGATGGCCAGTCATGTAGATTGGCTTGGTAGGGATTAGAACAAATGGTGTCTCTAATGGCCGTTCCAAAAGTGAGGTTCTGCGACTTGGGTTCTACACTTGACTTTGTCAATGGGCATAGGGGTGTGTGTGTGTGTGTGTGTGTGTATGCCCAGGCACACCTGGGCTCGAGTATGCAGCGTAAGAAGCAGTGAAGAAATGAAGCTCAAATGACATTATGGATATTAGTGTTGTTGTTAGCCTATAGTCCCCAGGCCTCCAGTCCAATCATGGCTTCATTTTCTGAGCCTTCTACTACACTTGAGCTAAAGCAATGTTTATAGAGCATTATAGGGGTTTGCTGGTAAATGTTTAACAACTGGGCTCTCCTTAAAAGAAATGTACATGCATTTTAAAGTGTAAACTGCATTATTAACACTTTCTTAGTCTATAGGTTCCCAGAGTGGGTAATACCATCCCTGGGGGGCACTGGAACAATGGGGTGGGTGCAGTAGTAGCCTTGGGTGCAATTGGGAGGGGCCTTGAATAAAAATAAGGGCGTGGTGGAAACATAAGGAAAGAAGAGAAGAAAATTTTGAAAAACCGTTCCTAGTACATGTTTCATCTGTTGTGTAATAAAGTTAAAGTTGTAGTGATTGCATTATTCTCCAAATAAACACACATAATACAAGTTATAACTGACCAGTGGTCAAGTCCCCACAGGTCTTGGCAGGTGAGAGTGTCATGCATTGTCAGGAAATCTAGCATACATTGGCAGGAATATGTGCATATAATGACTTGTTTACAATATGATACTCTACAGTTACATGCAGACACTATATGGTTAAATGATGCAATATTGCATCATCAAAATTTCAATGCAGGAAAACCTCCACAAATTTACAATAAATTATTAAATTTAAGATGCATCATGTTTTTTAAATGACACAAATTTTTAAAAAACTGTTCAAGGGTTAAAGAAAGTAGATTTCTAGGGGGGCGCTGAGTAATTTTTTTTTTTTTTTTTTTGAGAAGGGGAGTGATAGGCCAAATAAGTTTGGGAACCTCTGGTCCAGACAATCAACAAAACAATAAATCAAACCCTGTTTTTAGACTCTGCTATTTCTGGGCTATAAGTGCTCACACTAAAAATTTAGCAATAGACCCTTACAAGCCAATTAGAGCTTGCTTCAGTAAACACAGCCCTGGTGGGAAGTGACTGGCCTTATGATCTCATAGCTAGTTCACAGCAGAACTACCACCACCAGCACCATGACCACCAGAACCACTACCACCATTAGTTGACAAACAACACAGTGCTTTCAAGTTTGCAAAAGTCCTTATCTTCTCTTGATTCTCACTATGCCCTTGGAGGCAGCTACTATTATTATTCTCATTTTGCAGATGAGGTTACATGACTTGTCTGTGGTTATGGGGCCAAGACTAGAACCCAGTCTCACTGCCTTCAGGGTCCTGTCTACTCTATCCTACGGGAGTAA